ATGATTTGAGTTTTAATAAAAGCATAAACCGGAAACTCAAGCCAAGAGGTAAACTCTAGAATATCGTCTAAATAGTTACATTAAAATATTCATCCCCTATTTTGCAACCCTTTTCAGTATTCTTGAAGTAGGCATGACAAACAAGCACACCATCCATACACCTAATGGTAAGAAAAAGTGCTTTAGCATTGCCTTTCTTAGGATTTATAGGGATAGCTGGGCTGCAAGAAATTTGAAGAATATGTTTTAACCGATAAGATGACTCCCTGCAAGTCTTCTTATACGTATATGGTTGTCACCACGTTATACACTCTGAATATCGATACGAGACTGCCGCTCGACAATCATTTTTCTTCGACGGCTATCGGTTCTCCTAGCCATATGGCTAGCCTATTGCCACTTCAGCTACTTCAGCTTACTAATCTGTTAGACAATATGATTACCCTGGTTATATTCCTACTGCTATACTTGTCTATCACGCAGAGAAATTCCTAGCATAGCTCTGTCCGTAGCTCGCTGAGCGACTGTGGCTATAAGCAATTATTTTTTCTCCTGTTCATGATCTTCTGAATCTGAATTTCAATAAGGTATGTGTTATAATATTTAATAAAGTTTTAAATTTTGAATTCGAACCACACATTCCAACAGTCTATTATTCTAAAATAGATTTTCCATAATATGTATATACCGGTTCGGTGACCCCTACTATGATATTCCGTCGCAAATATATTCAGGCGATTTGAAAATACAATACACGCTAATGATATTAAATATCGTTGATACAAAAGATTTATTTATTTATTTATTTAGGCTTACCAACTTAACACATACAAAACATTATTATTAAACATTTGCAGTTATAAACAAAATTATACTATATATGTATTTAACTTAAAGGTATGCACAACATTTCAACATGAAACTTAAAATTAGTTTTTAAATTAACAGATAATAAAATATATATAAACTCAAAGACTATTCAATGCAATACAGGTAAAATTATAATTTGGTAGAGAGCTTAACATTGTAAAATTTAAAGTTGTATAATTTAAAGTTTTAATTTTCAGTTTGAGTGTAGTATAGAGATATTTTCTTTTTTAAGGAACCCTGACTATCACTGAAGAGATTGTACTTTCTCATCATAGAACATAGAGGAGAGTTGTTACCATACTTTTTGCTATTGAAATTTACACTAAAGGGACTAAAATTACACAACCTTGCTGAAACTCTGGGCACCTGCAAGTTAATTTGTGATAGGAGGGATGGACAATCCACTTTATTATTAAGTAGTTTATGTAAAAGGCTTATAGATGGCAAATTCTTTCGCTGCTCCAATGATAAAATTTCGAAATGCGCTAATCTTTTAGAGTATCTGCGAATTTTACGATGAACGCCACTTACATAAGATATTTTATTAAAAAATTTTTTTGGATTCTTTCTATACGCTGAATATTATTTTGATAAGACGGGTACCATACGACTGAACAATAATCAACATGACTGCAACCCGTACAAAGTAGAGAACTTTTAACGCTACAACCGACTTAAAATTTTTGGTGTTTCTGAAAATAAAAGCCAACATTCTTAACGATTTGTGTATGGTATTGTTAATGTGGTTAGTGAATCGCATCTGAGAGTCAATAGCAATGCCTAAGTCCTTCACTTCATCTACTTTCGCTAAATCTACACCATTCATATTGTAGCTACTATTATATTTGTTAAATTTTCGAGAGAATTTAATGTGATAGCATTTATTTGTATTGAGAGACTATCTATATCCTCTTGAAGTTGAATTTGGTCTGTGTTATTATTCACAATTTTGGATATCTTTAGGTCATATGCGTATAATTCAAAATCGGAGTCACGGATACAATGCTTAATATCATCGATAAACATTATAAAAAGTAATGGGCCAAGGTGCGACCCTTGTGGAACTCCAGACGTTGGGATAATTTCTCTAGAAACAAACCCGCTAATGACTGACTACTCTTTGTGCATCCATAAGCATCCATGTATGCCAAATAATGTGTGTAGTTTGTTGATGAGAACTGAATGATTTACTGTGTCAAACGCTTTACTAAAGTCATTATAAATACAATCTACTTCATTCCTTGAGCTCATTCTAGTAAGTGTTCTGTCAACAAATGTAATAAGATTGGATGTAGTAGAGCGTTTTTTAAAAAAATCCGTGTTGTTGATCAGCTATAATATGTTTTATATGCCAAATTAGGATAAATTAACGATTCAAAAACTTTACCTAAAACTGGAAGAATACTAATAGGTCTGTAGTTGCAGATATTACTTTTATCGCCTGATTTATGTAATGGTATAATTATTGCATCCTTCCAACGTTTCGGAAATATACCTTCTAATATGTAAATGCGCAGTAGAGCTCACGATACGTGAGCTCTACTGCGCATTCCTTCAGAAACAAGGGGTGAATCCCATCACTTCCGGCTCCCTTAATAATATCTAGAGCCTTTTTTTATTTTGAGTAACCTATTTTTTTCATTTTTTTTCATCGGCCCGTTAAGTCCTCGGTTGAAAGTGAAAATTTTTATGAGTGTACGTAGACATCTATATTGATTCGAGTGTAGAAGTGTAGGATTTAAGGCTTCCATCTAGCTTTGCTGTTTTACATTCCCAGTCATTAGAGGGGGCGCTCTCCCCCGTGCATAAATACGTTCTAGATCGCAGGTGAAGGTTGTTTTACTTCATTAAATATACAACATGTAACACAATTAACGCACTTTGAGAAAGTAGTTTGTTCAGAATCGTTTACTGAATCCGTTCCTATCATTTTTAATATAGGTAATTTTTTATTCCAAAAATAATTAAAACTAAGTAAATTACAATCAGTCTAAATCTGTACAGTCAAAACAAACTGAAATGGACCGTAACTTAAGGCAATAAAACTTTTGAGAGTGCAGTTTAATTTGTATTATTACTAATTCTGTCATTCAATAAAAATAAAGAAAAATGAACTTTATTTCAAGCACGTCTTGGTCTTTGCGTTCGTGAATTTGTACCGTAACCACAACATTCTTTCGGAATTAGTATAACTAATTTGATAAATAATCGGTTTACAAAAATGTTTAACTAAAAATTCAGTGTATGTATTATGATTATAACATAATATACTAATTGGGGTGTCTGAGGGTGTGCGTTAATTACGTTACATATTGCATAACTTATTAATTTTTTTTTCCAAAAATATTACTTTTACGTTTGTCGTGGTAGTATAATTTTTTACCCTTTTATATTTCATAAATGTGGTTTTTAGTAATGTTTACACGGGGTGTAGGTTTAAAAGGGTATATACAACCGAAGGAAAATAAAAACTGCCTCTTTATACAAATTTCGCCTCCACCTTGTACATTTTGTACTTTACTACTATTTTTACTGACACAGGGGTATTTCTTTTTTTTCTATCCATCTTTTTCCGTTTTTTTTTTTTTTTTTTGGTAATAAATTGAAATTCTCCAAATATAAAATTCCAAGTCAATTAACCTAATACTAATATAAAAACTAATACACTAAAAACTAGAACTAATATGACAATTAAATAAAAGTAATATATATTTAAGTAGAGCAACTTTCACGATATGCTCAATCCATAAGAGCTGTGCGAGGGAAAGAGATCAACCGTGCGAGCGAGAGTTAAAGTAACGTTGAGCAACACTACACACGTCTGAACGCCGAGAAATCCCAGCGGAGCTGAGAGAATTTATAGCCGTTTCTGGTTTATAAATGGAATGTTGGTAAAAAGTACGAAAATATATATTTTTTTAATTTTATTTATTTCTAATTAACTTGAAAATAGAATTATTTTATGTGGTTTTAAGTACGACTTTGCTACATTTATACTTCTAATAGAAAAAAATAGATATTTGGAGTAAAAAAAATCATGAAATTACAACTTTTTAAGCCCTCCAAATAAGAAAATAAAATATGTTTCACTATTTCTTTTTTAAATAATATAAAAAAAAATATTTGTTGCTGTAAATTTTGCGAGAACACTAATTTTTACAAGACTGGGGTCTTAATAGTAGCAGTGATGGTGTACACTATTGGGGTAAGGGAGAGCAGAAGGGTGAGAGGGGTGTTCTCCAGACCAACATAATACTAATACAAACCATTTTATTATTACATTCATATCTTAGCTAATAAAATTCTAAGTCTAATAATACTTGAAAGAGTATGTTTTACAATACTACGCGTCAAAATGTTGATAAATCAAGGCGAAAACAACAAATCCTATTCAAGAGCAAAGCGTCAGGAATGCTGTGGCTAGTTTTTTTTAACGACTCCAAAAATAAGGAGGTATCCAATCCGACTGTATGTTTTTTTATGTATTGCCGCATAACTTTTCTCTGGGTGAACCAATTTTAACGATTCTTTTTTTTATCTGTGAGCTGGTGCTTCTCGTATAAAGTTATATTTCCCCATGTGGTCCCATATAAAAATTAGACCAGTAATTTTTGAGTAAGCCTTTAATAATGCGTATTTTATTGACTTCGAATACATTGATTCGGTCGTATTGAAGTCGGTTGTATAAAATTTCTAATTTTACCACTTGTTTATTTTTCTGATCAGTCAGCACTTAGTAAATTACCTTTAACCACAGTACCAATGCCTCTCCACTGAGTCTAATGCTGGTAAATGATATTTGGCAGCATCAAGGTGAAGCTCAATTACAAGGTACCATCATCAACGTAATAAACAGTGACTTTGATGCTGCAAAATCAATAAAAGAGCACATTTAAAGGACTAATATTGTCTGCCTTTTTTTTTTTTTTTCTTTGTTTCTTTGCCGCTTTTTACTTATCTCCCTTTATTTTTGTAAATATTTAGTCTCACTCGATATTCGATTCTAAGTCATTAGTAGGGCCAGTGTTACAGGTTTAGGTCAGTTACCGTGCCATGATTCTCATCTGAGTGCACCCAGAAGTGGACCGCAGAGTGGACGTCGTGTCGGTGCGAAACTTAAAGCAGTAGTCATGTTCAAATTTCTAGTTTTATTCATGTTTGTTGTAGTCAGTCTTACTGTAAGTACATACGTTGTAATATCCTATATTTGATGAAATTTTTTATTTAAGTAAGGTTTTATTTCCAAGTATATACAGGTGTCATTCCTGAGCAAAATACATATATGTTCTAAAACCGTGCAAAGGTCAGTCGCCCAGGCTACTTATTTTAGAACCTGTGTCATCATTTTATATTCAAATTCAAATTTATTCAAATTCATTCAAATTAATTAATTTATTTGTGAATACAGTGAGTTAGGTGTTAGTAAAATTAACAGTAGGTATCGTGTGTTCTACCACAGTGTGGTGTACAAATATAGGTTTTTTTTCGTTCTAGACTCTAGGTGATAGACAATATTCACAAAAATGCTAGATATTATTTTAAAAAATCCTCGACCGCGGAGGACCACGTTCTCACAGAATACCAGCGTCAAATATTAGATTAATATTTCTTATCCTATAAACGAGCAATTCTTGTATATATATATATATATATATATATATATATAAAATATATATATATTATATATATATATATATATATATATATATATATATATATATATATATATATATATATATATATATATATATATATATATATATAATCGGAATCTCGGAAACGGCTCTAATGATTTTCATAAAATTTTGTGTGCGGGGGAGTTTCGGGGGCAATAAATCGATCTAGCTAGGATTTATTTTTAGAAAATGTCTTTTAGTCCGTGTTTTTTGACAATGAAAAACTGCTACAATATCGTTAGAATAAGAAGGTAAATTTTGACAATTTATTAACGATTACAAATAGCTTAATTGGTATATTGGGCGGTCACTAATCGTAATACCATGGTTCAAGCCCAGACCGACCGAGCCGACTTTTTTTAATATTTTTTTTTAGTTCCTTTCTTTTTTGAGAAAACTCTCATTTTTATCGAGCCCTTTTTTTAGTATTTTTTAAAAACACGAAAATTTAAATTAGAACTAATTGCACTCATGACTTTTTATTCAAATAACCAGTTCAGTGAATAAAACTGAATTTACGGATTTTATCGCGTTTATTTCACTACTTTTGCTTATTTTTAATTCCCGACGTTTCGGGTGCTTTACAGCAACCATGGTCACGGGGGGGACTGAGATGTTTGACGTCCCAATGTCATTGTTAGCCCGGCTACCTTCAGTTTTTGAATATTAATTTTTGGTCCGATTTACGCAAAACGAACTTACAGTATCTTGAAGTCTTGCAGTGGTATGCTTGGGTTTGGGTTTAATTTTGTTAATTATAGGATCCCAAGCAGATGGCAGCACCCAACCATCTTCTCTATTGAAATTAGGATGTTTTTTTAATTTCAATAGCCTCGCGTATCATCCTTGGTAGGAATCGGTGTTCTTTTGCGAGGACTTGTGGTTTATCAAATCTGATGTAATGGTGGGGACGATCTTGCATATGTTCACAGACTGCAGACTTCCCGGAGCGTCGGTGCTTCACGTCAGCTATATGTTCTTTCACGCGGGTTTTTATGGATCTTTTTGTTTGACCTATGTAAGAGAGACCACATTCACAATATAACTTGTACACTCCTGCATCTTGTAGAGGGATATTACACTTGACGGATGGTAAAAATTGACTAATCTTCTTCGGCGGCTTGTAGTATGTTTTAATGGAAGCTCGCTTCAAGATGTAGCCAACCTTGTCTGTGATTCCTCTGACATATGGTAGTACAGCAGGTACACGCTCGACTGTGGCCGGCTTCACTCGGTCACTGTGACGTAGGCGCGGTACCCGAAGCGTGTTGTCTTGCAATACTTGCTTGACATGCTGAAGTTCGGCGGCCAGATGTTTTCTGTCACAGATCCTTCGTGCTCTCTGAAACAAAGATTTAGCCAAGGTAGCTAAGTGTGAAGGATGATGGTGAGATTCACGATTTAAATATCGGTTGGTATGGGTCTTTTTCCTATACACAGTGTGACCAATTGTGTTTTTAGGATTTCGAATGACAAAAACATCTAAGAAAGCTAAAGAATTATTTGCCTCTAACTCCATTGTGAATTGTATTTTAGAGTTTATAAATCATTCGAATTTATTAGTCAAATTTATTAGTGAAATTTATTAGTCATTCGAAATCCTAATAACACAATTGGTCACACTGTGTATAGGAAAAAGACCCTGCAAGACTTCAAGATACTGTAAGTTCGTTTTGCGTAAATCGGACCAAAAATTAATATTCAAAAACTGAAGGTAGCCGGGCTAACAATGACATTGGGACGTCAAACATCTCAGTCCCCCCCGTGACCATGGTTGCTGTAAAGCACCCGAAACGTCGGGAATTAAAAATAAGTAAAAGTAGTGAAATAAACGCGATAAAATCCGTAAATTTAGTTTTATTCAATGTGTAGTGTTCGCGTAAATTTAAGAAATAACCAGTTCAGTTTTTTCTATTATGTCGCTAAGATCAAAAAATATTATTCGTATTTCATCAGTATGTAATTTGTATCTAAATGTAATTTCCAAAATACACGAATTAAAAAAAACCGAGCGAAAAATACCGAGCAAAGCTCGGTCAACCGGGTATTATACTTAATGTGTGACGAAAACCGGAGATCTTTTTCACTAGTAAAGAAGCAAACCATCTTAGTCTTCAGGAAGTTCTTCTTCTTAAGAAAACATCTGCATCGTAATTCCTAATCGAGAATATTATATAGACTTATAATAATACTATATTAATACTTCAACGTTAATTAGCTATACATTTTTGTTCAAACATTTAGACCATAGACACAAAATATTTGCTATTTGTGCCAACTAGTACTTAACACGGTTATCGTAAATCACGCACACGTTCCTGGCTCCCATATAAAATGTTGCAGCAAACCAAACAATGAAAGTCGCAGGAAACATACAGTCCGAAAACAAGAAATGTAGAACACAATTATCATCGTTTGGATCACTATCACTCTGACAAGAATACTCTTAGAAAGAGAAAGAGAGGATTACGAAAAATATTCTTAACTTTCGAGATATTACAAGCAAACTTCCAATCGAAACTAAGTCTTGGGACTGCTTCAATCGTCCACAGATTACTCTCCTAGACATAAAAGGAGGAGTCTATGAGAGAGTAATCTGTGGATGATTGTAATAATAATAATATAATACTTTGATGCTGTATGTCCATAGTTCTAGTTGGTACTTGGTATTGGTACCACCCTCGTAAATATTTCTGAGGCCCAATAAATAGCTGTGCTTGCACTCCTGTGTTCAGGTCCAAACGATAAAGAGAGTAGGTGTAACAGGCTGTGAGGTAATACATCTTAATCCGCAGGGATGACAGCGCATATATAGCCTTCCTTGTGTGAAGATGGCTGCAGGTGTCCGTGGACTGTAGAAGCCACTTACTATCAAATAGACCGCAAGTTCGTTTGTCAAAGGCATAAAATATAATCACAACTTCTAAATCTTAGCTTCCGCATGAAGAGTAACTATACGGGGATTAATAAAAAATCGTACTTAGATACGTGTATCGTATAATATATGACAACCTGTTCCACCTGTTACCTAGCATACCATAACTGTCTGCAAATTTGTAATGTGGTAATGGTTTTGTTTTTGTTTTTGTTTGGAGTTTTTAATTTTCCATGACGTCGCACGATGTTACAAGAACTACCTGTAGTTCTGTCAACTCAGTTTATTCGTTTATTTTTTTTCTAGAGTAACCTTTTAGAAAAACTTTAAAATTTACAAGTTGTACAACCGACTTCAATATAAACAAGTGGTAAAATTAAAAAATGTGTACAACCGACTTCAATACGACCGAATCAATGTATTCGAAGTCAATTAAATACGCATTGTTAAAGATAAATCAAAAGCTAACGGTCAGAGCTTGATTAAATTTATTTGGGACCACACCAGAAGCACCAGCTTTCAAATATAAAAAGAATTATCAAAATCGGTTTATCCAGAAAAATTTTTTGACGTAACACACATAAAAGAACACACAGTCGAATTGAGTACCCCCTCAAGTGAGTTTTTCAATAGAGCAGAATATAATATTTTATTCAACATCGATTATGACTTAACTTATTCAAAGTAATTTTTTATGATGTCACTGAAGGTCATACAGGTTTGTGCACCAACATGGGCACATCCCGATGAGAAGGTGAAGGAAATGTATGAGGATATTTCTAGAGCCAAGTATTACCCCAAAATCCACTATATGGTATTAATGGAAGACTTCAACGTAAAACGAGGTACAAGAAAGAACGGTGAGCTGAAGGTAGTGAAATTTGGGATAGGGCAACGGAACCCAAGGGGAGAGCAGCTGGCCGACTTCATAGAAAGAGAGACTCTTTATGATGAACACTTTCTTCCAGAAACGGCCCCACAGAAAGGGGACCTGGTCGAGCCTCGACGGTTCGACAAAAAATGAGATTAACTTCATTACATACGACTAGAATGATGTCTTCTTAGTGTTCGCAAGGATGAAAACTGGCAGCGATCACGGAATGGAATGGAGAGGCACAATGAACCTAAACGTTAAGTTGGAGAGGTCTCGTCTAAAGAAGTCAACGCTCCGTCACCCTCGTGCTCTAATCCCGAAACCTTTCAGCTCGAGTTACAAAACCGTTTTCAGTGCCTAGAAGATTGCAATGCAGTGGACGATATGAATCAAAAGCTCGTGGAAACTATCCATGCGGTCGGAGATAAGTTCTGCAAGACCCGCCGCAGAAGAACACAAAACTCTCCGATCACACTCTTAATCTCACGGCTGTTAGACGGTAAATGAAGGCGCATTCTTCAACAGATTTAACAGCATACAGGCAACTGATCAGACAGATCTCTAAATACATGCGGCGGGACTTACGCAATTTTAATAATGCTGCTCGTATTGAAGAAGCGATCGAGTGAAACCAGGGCTCCAAAGTCTTTGCCAAAGATGCCAGAAAGAGTCAATCGTCAAAGCTGAAGATTGAGTGTGGCAGCATTGTTTCCGAGACACCTGAGATTTTCAGTGAGATTGAGAGGTGCAAGTGTGAGTAAGGATCCAAGAACAAACCTTATCCGACACTATTACGACGATTTCCCAGACGCCAGTCTGAGCGAGATTAGAATGGCTCTCCAGCACCTTAAAAATGGCAAGGCCTTACGCGAGGATGGAATTACAACGGAGCTTCTGAAACCCGGGAACACCGGTACTTAAAGTCCTTCAGAAGCTCTTCAATTCCGTCCTTCAGGGTGGCACTACTCCGGAGACGAGGATCCATTCCGAAAAGGCTTCAGTACCATAGACCACACACATACCCTGCGGCAGATTGTACGGAAGACCGAAGCCACTTTGCTTGGCGTATGTGGACTATGAGAAAGCCTTTGATTCCGTCGAAATTTGGGTGCTGCTACAGTCCCTTCAGCGGTGCCAAGTTGACTGTGAGTACATTGAAGTGCTAAAGCGTTTGTTCAGTAGGGCTGCGATGGCTATCCGAGTACAGAACCAGAGTACGAAACCTTTCTAACTGCAGAGAGGTGTAAGACAGGGTGACGTTATATCCCCGAAACTCTCCACCGCTGCATTGGAAGATTTTTTCAAACTTCTGGACTGAAAAGGATACGGTATTAACATCAATGGCTAGTACATCACTCACCTTCGATTTGCCGACGATATAATCCTTATGGCAGAACAAGACAGAGGACCTAAGCACTATACTCAATGACCTCAATAGTGTCTCCCAAACGATGAGTCTTAAAATGAACATGGATAAAAAAGATCATGTTTAATATCCATGTCACACCTATGCCGGTAGTTGTTGGGAGTACCAAGTTCGAAGTTGTTGACGAGTATGTTTACCTGGGACAAATAGTCCGACTAGGTAAGTCCAACTTCAAACAAGAGGTTAATCGACGAATTCAACTCGGCAGGGCAGCATTCGGAAAATTACGACACATCTTCTTCTATACCTGAATACCTCAAAACCTGAAAACTAGATTAATAGAATAACTTACGGATATGAGACGTGGTCCTTCACTGCTAGCCTTATTGAGGATGCTCAAGGTCGCTCAGCGAACTATGGAGAGGGCTATGCTTGAGATTTCTCTGCGTGATAAACTCATAAAGGAAGATATCCGCAGTAGAACCAGAGTGACCGACATAGCTCAACGGATTAATAAACTGAAGTGACAATGGGCCGGCAATATAACTAGAAGAACCGACAATCGATGGGGAGAAAAGGTTCTCGAGTGGCAGCCTCGTACCGGTAGACGTAGTGTGGGGCGACCCCCCTAGATGGAGTGATGACCTCAGGTGGACTGTGTGCTCGTTTGTCACCCTATCCTATAAAAAAAAACCTTGTAAGACATGCAGGAAGTCGATGGATGCAGGTGGCTCAGGACCGTGCTTTGTGGCATTCTCTAGGGGAGGCCTATGTTTAGCAGTGATGTTATGTATTATTACATACCCCATGTCATCCTGTGGGTGATGTTAGAGGGAGTATAGAGGCAAACTGATACCGGAGATGGGCAGCAGCAGCATCTTTATGATAACAATTCGAATTAACAAAAACTGCGATTGCCAACGCGCCTGTCAAGCGTAGCAACGGTGGCAAATATCCTCTATATCAGTTATAAAATAAATAAATAATATCTTAATATTTTGTAATAAATAAATAGGCGAACATATAGGCTAGTGCGTTGAGACGGAGCAGCATGAACAACAACTTAACTATTAGGTAAAAAATTTGGTTAACGTCTGCATGTAAACATTTTATGGTCGCTACACACGGTCAGTTCAACTGATCATTCCAACTGATCAGTTCTAGGACTGTAGATATTTTTTATTTGAAAAAATACCGCTAATTTTGCAAAATAAATATGATTGCTAACAAACAAAACGTAAGAGATCAAATTAAATAAAGAAGCAAGATATTTTTAACTTCCCGCTATTAAAATCACAGATTTTAAAAAAATTGGTAAGTTTTTGGTTTCCCCCCAGTTTTCAGAAATCGAGGTTTCAACGGATCTCGAAGTTTTGAGGTCCTAGGAAGCTATTCTGACTGTTCCTACGAAGATGTAACTTGTCTGTAGTGTGTGCTTGTGCGAGTGCGTGTTGTGTGTATGTGCGTGTGCGTGTGTGTGAGCGTGTGCGTGTGCGTTTGCAAGTGCGTGTGCGTGTGCGAGTGCATGTGCGTGTACGTGTGCGAGTGCGTGTGCGTGTGTTAGTGCGTGTGCGTGTGCGTGTGCACGTGCGTGTGCGTGTGCGTGAGCGTGTGCATGCGGGCGTGTGCGTGTGCGTGTGCGTGTACGTGTGCGTGTGCGTGTGCGTGTGCGAGTGCATGCATACTTACGTACGTGCGTGCGTAAGTGCGCGCGCGCGTGTGTGTATGTGTGTGTATGTGACTTTCATACTGTTTTAGCCAATTTAGACAATAAGACAGGTCAGCTGTCACTTCTTTGGACTAAGATGAAATGCTCCACTGGATTACGCTGATTATGTTGTTAATAGGTGTTGTGCTCCATATCTAACCAAGAGTCCACTTGCTCTCTATGGCACAAAAGTCATATAATTATATCCTTTGTATTCTGATTGTGGACAACTAAAATATTATAATTACTCATATATTATTTTATAGAATAAGGGTGACAAATGAGCACACAGTCCACCTGATGGTAAGTGGATGCTGTGGCCCATAGACATCTACTATTAACCTCTTTTAAGAATTAAAATGCAGATGCGTTGTTACCCCTGAGGACTAAGATGGAATGCCTCGATTCCAGTAAAACGGGTCACCGGTTCTCTACACTCACCATACGAAACACAGCAGCATAAAGCTGCTATTTTAGGCTGGTATTCTATGAGAGCGTGGTCCTTCACCGGTCGAGTCGACCTATTCAAGCTACATCCATAATAATGGTGGTTAATATAGCGCATAGCGCCATATTATAGCGCGCTTTCTCTTCATAACACATAGCGCGTGTTATGTAAGTAGTCGCCATGGCGCTATTGGCGCTATCCAGTAATAATATCAAGCGGCAATTAGTTCTAGCAGCAGCGCTGTTGGGAGTAGACGTGTGACGAAAATTTGATCTCGTAGCGCGCTATTCATCGCGCGCGACCTAATTAAGTGTTAGACGTTGTTTAGTTAGTGTATACTGTATATTTATAAGTGATCAAAGGACACAGTTGTGATAAAAGAAGTCTAACTAATGTTTTTAAACGTAAATAAAATATATTTTCGTACAGAAATACTTTTCATACAAAAGTGTATATAATAGTGTATGTAAATAATTGATTTTTATAAATACAATAAATAAACTTTTAAATACACCTTTATTTGATTTATAATTTTTCTTAAGGTTAAAATAATGTTTATTATCAATTATAATAAAAAATAATTAATTTTATTTCGATTCTAAAAATAAAATTAATTTTATTTTAAAAAGTACATGACTTAAAAATATTTTTAGGATTATAGAAAGTAGTAATCCTGAAAAGTATGAAAAAGCGTGCATTGTTTTTCCTTTACCGCTTTACTTTATTTTAATCTAAAATGCGACTTATTACGAAATAATGTTCTTATATAGCACGCGATCTATCCAATGAATGCTTGCGCCATCCTTTCTGCCAAGGAGGGTCGCGTTCGTATACGGCTTAGAGATCTCTAGTCAGATAGCCAATTCCTAAAAGGTTGAGTTTAGTGGGTAAAAGTCTCCACATAACCACGCAGCCGGCTGCGTGGTATGCTATGAGCATTCTCAACCTCCCTCCCCCGCTTTCCGGAGGGTTGCCCATATTTGCTTCGGGCGCAAAAAAAAATCCAATGACGACTTGTAATGTAACGTGCTAAGAGATATAACGTGCTGTAAAATTTAACGCGCTTACCGGCCTCCTACACGCTTTCTTATAAATAGCGCGCTATAACATAGCGTAATTAATAGCGCGCTAGAAATTTATAGTTTATAGTCTGTAGCGTGCTATTGATTCATAGTCGTTTTGAACAACTTTAATCCATAATAGCTGCAGCGTGGTTCTACCACGTATAAAATATTAATAATATTTAATTTTTTATTTTTATTTAACTTTTTTTAATTTAATGAGTTATGGTATTATTTTAACATTAAAGATGTGATAATTAATTTGTTAAGATTCCCGTGCGAACAATAAAATGGTGTTATGTATATGAGCAAATATTCTCGAAGTGCACCTCACAATTATAGCGTGCAGTATCACTGCTGCAACCACTTTACACGACAACACTTTAAACGAGGCATCATCAAAGCATTCCAATATTATGACACCTCGTTTTTGAAAAATGGAACTTTATATGAGACATTCCATTACAGTTCTCAATGGTTACAGCGTACCTGTATCCTTCTTTTGGAGTTGGAAGCAATCCATTATTCCCTTAAACTGGCTGCAAAAAAACTGCTGCTATTCATCATTTGTAAATTATAAAACTGTTACCTATCATATTAATGTAAGCAAAATTTACAGATAGCATCTGGGACTGTTCCAACGTTCAAACTGAACGATGGTCGTGATATGCCTGGCTTTGGTCTCGGCACGTCACTCGGGCTTAAAAAGGTAAGTTATGAATTGCGAAATGCTTGTAAATCTACTATTTTTACTATTTATAGTAAGTATAATTTTACCAATATTACTAACAATATATTACGGACTCATGGTCTGAAATAAAATTTATATATCCAATCTATACAAATCATAAAAAATGTTTCTACCATGTCCCTTATAGACTTCGAAACCATCTAACTGATTTAATTGAAATTTTTTGTGTGTTTAAATGGGACTACGTATCTACATTTTGATTCTTAATGGATGATATCTGTATGTGTCCATGGGAAATAGCATCCATTCAGCATCGAGTTCCCGTTAGTCACTTTTACTTCAATACAATACCATATTCACATTAACTTAATTAATATTTTGCGACTAATGGAACGACTTTAAAGGGAGGAGGGGAGGATATATTAGAAGTCATTAATAAGGGATAAAAATGGTATTAATTTATTTCAATTTAACAATTTTTCAATTAAACTGGCGAAATAGTCTCGCAAGCAAGTTTTCAACCAGACTCTATCTAATAAGTTCAAGACTTTCCCAAAATATACTTTCTCGCCTACATTTACTTTTTTTATTCCATAAACATATAAGGGACTTTTACCGCTAGCGTATGTCAGTCGCATCATACCCTAACCTACATCACTAAATCATATAGCATTAATTATTTTACCACGTGGACCATGGATTCGAACAGAACATTCGCATCGTCGCCATTTGGTTGGGATAAAATATTACAATGATGAGTACGTACGTCAGTTCTGTTCAAATTCAAGACCCTTATTAAATAACTATTAATATACTCAAATCGAACACATTCCATCAATAAATGAATGTCTTCCTCCACAGTCTTCACAATTTGGCGAAGTATTTACTTTCTAATAACGTTAACTTCTATAATATCTAATTTGAAGGACAATAATAGAGATCTAAAGAAGAACGAAATTGAAAATGCCGTTAAATGGGCCATCGACGCTGGTTACAAGCACATTGATACTGCTTTTGTCTACGATACTGAGGATAAGGTGAGGGTAATATGGCAAAATGAATATGTAACAATTTTTATTCATTTAAAATATATCTTTAAAAACAAAATCTCTGAAATAATTTTGAAGTACAATATGAGGTACGTCACGATCAATATTCATTGTTTTTTTTTATTCAATATACTCAATTTTTTCATTTACCACTGGTTCGCAAAAAAACCTCTGTCCTGGGAAGAACCAGCAAAAAACCCAGCGGGACTATTTTTTTTCAAATAATAGCTTACTATGCTATGCTGTACTATGCTATGTTTACAATTAACAACACAAGACAAATTAGAAATAGCTTGGTAGCGATCACCCATTAAGTCATATTGAGATCTTTGCTAAGCTTCTATATTTCATTAGTAATTTATAAAACTTATTTCATCAGGTTGGCTCCGCAATAAACAAAAAAGTGGCAGAGGGCGTTGTAAAAAGGGAGGATCTGTTTGTAACTACAAAGGTATGCTAAGACATTCATAGAAAGTATTAAAATAGTCATAAATCGTTCTTATTTTTATTCTTTACCCATATATTTGGTTATGGAATAATGAACAAATATCTAATAAAAATTTATAGCTCACAGAAGAGTAGGTTGATAAAAACATATGTGCATATGGGTTCACAAACGAGTCTACGTACAGTATTGTATTTCTTTGTCAATTAGAGCCCATTAAAAGACCACTGTTGAACACAATATCCTCTCCCTTAGATTGCTTTATATGGCGGATAAGTGTCTTCGTCACGCTTTAAAAGCCATTAGGAAGAAGAAAGAAAGGTAGTTTGGTAATTGGAACGAAGTTCCTTATCGCGCGTTGCGAAAGGGGGCTAGACGGAAAAAATTAAGACCAAAAGTTGTAACGACACTTTTTGCTATAGTTGTAAGCCGTGCGGCATCCGCGTGTTTCTCTCTCTCTCTCTCTCTCTCTCTCTCTCTCATAGAAAGCAAGCCAGTTATGTATTTTTAAAAATGCTTATGCTAATAATGCTTATGTTATTTTAGCGAGTACGCATTATAACCTCTCTTTACTATTATGCTAACCAAGTCATGCGCGTTATAATCTCTCCATTATTGTGTGTTTAGCAAGTGTACGCGTCATAACTTTAATAAATTTAAAAGCAAATTATATTTTAATGCGTACGTATTTAGCAAGCCTGCGTGTTTTAACCTTTATAGGTCGCGCCACCAAAGATGAATTTAAATAGAGTCCACAATTGAAAATTTTACTATGGCATTTTAATATGTAAAAAGTCAAAGGTCAACATTATAACTACACATCAGTCTCCACGAAAACGGAACGATATATTTATATATCATCGTTAGGTTTTAACTGCTTCTAAATAATATTCTGCATTTTATGTACACTTAGTTAAAGAAATAAAATATTTTGTATTTGTATTTTTGTATTTGTAATTGCTGTTTAAATTATACTATGCGATAGCCTTCGATTATAAGGATATTTTACATGCAATAATTGGCAAAAAAATCATCTTGTAGAAAATAACAAAATATTTACAACTTTATACAATATACTTACTACGAATTACGCTATTTTAAATAGTCCCAAAATAATTTATACAATATTTTTAAAAGTACAAAAATAATCGCAAAAATTTAAAATTTTATAACAGGTAATCGCTAATACTTTCGATATCGATAGTACACAAGACGACACAAGAAGGCGCGCGGGCGACGGGACGCAGGGAGAAACTACTTGGGAGTAGCGCGTCGCCCGTTGCTATGGTTTCGCTTCCCCGTACCTCACACCTCACCGTGCCGACACCTATTTTTCGCTTCTGCGCACTTCCATTTAATTTCATCTTTCGTGGCGCGACCTTTACGCTGTTGTGTTTACAAAGTCGAGAGAGTATTATAGTTGCCGACACGAGTCGTGAGCACAGATAAACTGTGGTAGGGGGTAGGTACACTGTCAGTTAAAATTATTGGGTACCTTTATTATTTCAATTCGTAATTGAATATTTTCGCCGACTTTTATGAAAATGTTTACTCGAACACATCGACTTTTACTTTGATACAGTAATGTTGCAGATATTCGTGTCCGTTAAAAGGATTTAATGTATACCTGGTGGTTAGAATTGATTATTTTATTAAGAGAAAGGAAGAGGTGATATGCCTTCCATAAAATCTGGTGTTGCGGTGCGCCGTACAGTAGCTACTGAGACATTAGTCGCTTTTTTTTGCGCCCGAAGCAATTAAAGGGCTACCCTATACGTAGGGAGGCGGAAAACGCATTACGCATACCACGATAGCCGGTCTATCGTGGTTATGAGGGGCTCACTGTCCTACCGGGGACCCTAAGTGATACCCTCTAAAAACCGCCTTTGGGGACAGGCAACCGGCTGATTAAGCTCTATTGTGCCTTATCATGAGCGACCCTCTTTTGGGAAAAGAGGGCGCAGGCGACTAAGTGCCGCTGAGGGAGTGCCTACGAAGGCAAATTAATGTTGGTTATTACAATAATTTTATTTAATTAGAGTTGGCCTAAGCCGCCAGGAGACAGTTCAGGTCGTTTGAAAGTTTATTAGGCGGGTCCAAGAGAGAGTTTCTCGGCCTGCGGACACGATAGCGAGAGGGGGGTGGGGCTGCATAAGAAGCTGCCTCACGAATTAAATGGTTTGGGTGCGACTCTGAGGCTTTGAAGAAGTTCTCAGAGAGTTTTTTAAAAAATTGTTGAATTGTTGGGAGCTCTAAGTCCCGATGAAGGTCGGCATTACGGACGTACCAGGGTGCGTTTGCAGCTCGACGACAGAAGAGGTTCTGAACTATTTGGAGTTCATTTAAAATATTCGGGTTTGCGTGGGCAAAGACGGGGCCCGCGTAGGAAGATTAGTCGCCTCAGCAGTCTGTTTATATACGTCTATGATGTTTTTCGCAGTACCTAATTTTTTCATGTAACTAAACACTGAATAGACCATTTGTCGGGAATGTCTACTTAACACCGAATTCTGCCTTTTCTGCATATTTAGACCAAAGTCTGAACACTCAAATTATAACAACAAAAATAATTAAAATTATAAATTATAAAAAGAAGAAATAACAAAAACAATAATAACAAGGAGTACACAAACAACAATTAACAACGAGGTAACAAAAACAATTAACGAAAATAAACTAATTAATAAAGTTATCACTAATTGAATGAAACTAAATTTACGGATTTTATCGCGTTTATTTCACTACTTTTACTTATTTTTAATTCCCGACGTTTCGGGTGCTTTACAACCATGGTCACGGGGGGGACTGAGATGTTTGACGTCCCAATGTCATAGTTAGTCCGGCTACCTTCAGTTTTTGAATATTAATTTTTGGTCCGATTTACGCAAAACGAGCTTATAGTATCATGAAGTTTTGCAGTGGTATGCTTGGGTTTGGGTTTAATTTTGTTAATTATAGGATCCCAAGCAGGTGGCAGCACCCATCCATCTTCTCTATTGAAATTTTGATATTTTTTAATTTCAATAGCCTCGCGTATCATCCTTGGTAGGAATCGGTGTTCTTTTGCGAGAATTTGTGGTTTATCAAAACTAATGTAATGGTGGGGACGATCTTGAACATGTTCGCAGACTGCAGACTTCCCGGAGCATCGGTGCTTCACGTCAGCTATATGTTCTTTCACGCGGGTTTTTATGGATCTTTTTGTTTGACCTATGTAAGAGAGACCACATTCACAATCTAACTTGTACACTCCTGCATCTTGTAGAGGGATATTACACTTGACGGATGGTAAAAATAGACTAATCTTCTTCGGCGGCTTGTAGTATGTTTTAATAGAAGCTCGCTTCAAGATGTAGCCAACCTTGTCTGTGACTCTTCTGACATATGGTAGTACAGCAGGTACACGCTCGACTGTGGCCGGCTTCACTCGGTCACTGTGACGTAGGCGCGGGACCTGAAGCTTGTTGTCTTGCAATACTTGCTTGACGTGCTGAAGTTCGGCGGCCAGATGTTTTCTGTCACAGATCCCTCGTGCTCTCTGAAACAAAGATTTACCCATACTGGTGGTGAGATTCACCATTTAAATATCGGTTGGTATGGGTCTTTTTTCTATACACAGTGTGACCAATTGTGTTATTAGGATTTCGAATGACTAAAACATCTAAGAAAGCTAAAGAATTATTTGCCTCTAACTCCATTGTGAATTGTATTTTAGAGTTTATAGAGTTAAGGTGGTTTAAAAATGCAGTTACTTTGTCAGATGGTAAAATTGTGAAAGTACCGCTCGTCGTCTACGTACCGCTTGTAGAATCTTGGATTTACAGGAGCAGTCAGAAGGGCTTTCTCCTCGAAGTCCTCCATGAATATCTCAGCGACTATGGCAGCTACAGGTGAGCCCATCGCCACACCATCTACGTGCTATTAGACCTCTTCCTTCCACAATAGATAGCCAGATGTGAGGCAGTGTTTGAGTAATACTGCATATTCAGCAGGCATGTTATTATATTCTAGCTTCCTAGTTACAATTGATATGCAGTCTTCAATAAGTAGGCATGTGAATAATGACTGAACATCAAAACTGACCATAGTTTCATTGTCAGCGAGATGTAGGTCTTTTATCTCACTAACAAAATGGTATGAATCCTTTGTGTGTGCTCTGGTATGTCCTCTCAGTGGTGACAGTACTTTTGCCAAGTGTTGTGCCAGCTTATAAGTTGGTGAATCGATCTGGCTCACTATCGGACGTAGTGGAGCGTTTGGTTTGTGTATCTTTGGTAACCCATACAACCTCGGTGGTTTGGTACATGATGGTATTAGCGAATTCACGTCGAGATTTAATTTTTCGAAGTGTTTCTTTATTAAATCGCTAGTTGCTTTAAGCGTGTTAGTTGTGGGGTCTGTTTTGACCTTTTTGTATGTACTTTCGTCCGATAAAAGCTATAGTATTTTAAAATTATACTCTGACGTGTCCATTATTACCGTAGCATTTCCTTTACCCGCGCGGAGAATCGTTAGATCTGGTCTGTTCCGTAAGTTAATCAACGCTGTAAATTCGTCTTTAGGAAGGTTTGGTTTCGGCACTGAACTACGACGTAACAAGGACGAAATATCTTAACGTATAGCCTCCAAATCTTCCTTACCAATATTATTTTTAAACAGACAATCCTCAACGCTGCAGATAATTTCTTCGTACGGGATTTTTCGCGGTGTTAATGCGAAATTCATTCCCTTTGCTAATCATCCCATTCCCAACCATCTAAGTCAACGTCAGAACGAAACACAACCGTTGACCACAGACGCAAACAATAAACAACGCACGGTCTATAATCTGTCAAAACATACACTGGATGAACCAACAATAAAAGTGTTAGCGAAGGGAATTAATTTCGCATTAACACCGCGAAAAATCCCGTACGAAGAAATTATCTGCATCTTATCCGAATGATACGTTCTAAACCAATAGACGACGAGAATCGACTGATGAACCAATTACGTTGAACGTCAGCGTGGTCAACGTCGTATCGAACAATAAAAAGTGTGCTCACGACTTATGTTGGCAATTATATATATATATATATATATATATATATATATATATGTGTGTGTGTGTGTGTGTGTATGTATAAAGGAACTTCGTTCCATTCGGGTGTCCCTTGACACCTCTCAAGTTTTTTTATACTTTCGCAGTCACCTCCTTACTCTCCTTTTTAGCTCTAGGAAATCGAAAAATCATCCGATTTCGATGATTTTTTTTAAATCTTCAATAATACGGCGGATAAAAATTGCAAGAATTTTAAAAAAATCAAATGTATATTGGTTTCAAGGCTTTAAATGTTCATGAAAATGTACTCATTCACGTAAAATCGTTGATAATTTTTTTTAAACAATCGACGGTGCTTCCCTCCCCCAACTCTCTCCCGTAGTGCGGTCGTAGGAAGCCCGGTCGACGGAGCCCCACTTCACGGGACTCCTACTTTTGAGTGGTTTATAAAAAAATAACCACGAAGGAGATGGCGGGATCTATTCGCTCGCTTCGCTCGCCCTTTCGACCCCACCATCTCCTTATAACCTAACCTGTGTGAGTCGGGATGCCCTAAGTACAGTAAATAAACATTAATATATGATTTTTTATCAATTTTTTAAATGTGCGTTATTTAGATTAAGATATAGCAATCACTGTCAAAGATTGCGTATCTTTTTTATTTTGTTACAAGATTTTTCGAGGATAATAAAAGTTATTGATATATTTTTGATTATAATACATAGTTTATTCTTTTCATTTTGGTCTTTTCCGTAAAAACGAAAATTTAAAAAAAAACTCATCGTAATCGAATTCTTTTTTCGATTTTCTAAAGCTTTTATGATAACACACAACACGTAAAGTGAGATAAAAAATTAATAAACAAACATTTTTCAATGCCTTTTTTTTAAATGTTTGTTTTTTGTGTAAATTAACAAAAAAATTTACAAACTTCGTTTATCGCTTTGCAAAAGGTTATTATATATTATATAAGATTATCTTCTAATCTTAAAGTTATGAAGATCGAAGGAGTGCGTTTATGATTCATCATAACATTTAAAGTCATAAAACTATATGAAATCTTGAGGTGAGATATTTTCCATATTTTTTCCATAAATTCGCCGTAAAGACGAAGATTTTTGAAAAAAAATCATCGAAATCGGATGATTTTCCGATATTCTAGAGCCAAAAAACAATGTGAACGCGATAGTATAAAATTACCGGTAGTTTTTTTTACTATTTTGAGTTGTTATCTGGAAAATGCTGCTATCCGACCCTGTTGCATTTCCATATTTGGCCTATTTAATCTCCTGGACATAGGCCTCTTATTGCAGGGAGGAGATGCACTATCTTTTTTATCTTTTTAGCATATCGCGTAGAAGCCTCACCCATCACCATATCTCACCCGAAATGGTTGCTGGATTCTCTTAAATCTTCATACGGAGCCGCAATTTTTTTCACAACTACTTAGTATGCAATTAAGAACGAATAAATTGACAGTAGAAAAATATACTAAGCAGGTATTTTTTCGCAGTTGTGGAACGACGCCCATGCACGCGATGCAGTTGTGCCAACATTACGGAAGTCACTCGAAAATCTTAATTTAGATTACGTCGACCTTTACCTAATACATTGGCCAATAGCGCAATATGTAAGTTTTATATTTTCCTTTTATTACATTGCCTCGTTAAAATACTCATAAAATAATTATTTTACTGTATCATATAGTACAATGAGGAAAGTTTTAGAAACAATTTGTGATATAAAACAGACAAAACCATGAGAGTATGAATATTCTCATTTTATTTTTCATTAGTCCATAAAATCCTAATGCTGTTCATTGAGGTCCATTCGGATGTACTGAAGATTCGTTTTAATGAGGCGACATAAAAGATTTCAGTACACCATTCCGTCCAGTGGGTACCATATGAGGCGTCTATGGGAAATACCAGAAAAATTACGCAGTTTCCTAAAGAACATAGAACAACAAGACATAATCATCTCTTTACGCCGGATGTGGTAATAAGAGTTATAGGAGGATAGCAACCGGCGACGAACAGCAGAATAGTAAGTACAAGATTTCTGGAACAATGACCGTCTATCCGCCCGCCAAGCCCAAGCGTGAGGCGAGAATAACAAATCCTCAACTATACAGAAGGCTATAGCAGGCCCTAGGCCAGCAGTAAATGCTTATGAGCTGATGATTAGAAATATGAAGAAATGTCATTCCAAAATCTTTAATTTTAAAACTCTGATTTTACATCTTTTAGTCAGGATAATCTGCCTGCCTATTTTTCGGTCTGACAAATCTCCCCCCACCCCCATGAGGCACGTTATGGGGGAGGTGTATACTGGCAGTGACCTTTTGATAGGCTGTGATGATTTAATTAATGAATTATAATTTTACTTCCGACGGGCAGCAGCGTAAATCTGCGAGACATCTGGCAACGCGATCGTCAATCCGTCTGCCAAGCGTGAATCCCCTCTACATTGGAAAGGGCTGATGATGATGATGATGAAGAAGAAGTAATTTCTAAGTTGACATGAATAATACACACAAAGCCTTACAATATTTTTAGAGAAACGGTACGTTCTATGATGTTGATTACTTGGAAACTTGGGAGGGAATGATCGAAGCTAAGAAACTGGGTCTTGCTAAGTCTATCGGAGTTTCCAATTTCAACCAGCAGATGCTTGAGAGACTTATCTCTAAGAGCTCTGTCAAGCCCGCCGTGTTGCAAGTGGAGGTAGGTTTTTATCTTTTATTCTATGTTTTTAACTAAATTTTATTGTTTTTTTTTTAAATAATGATTTAATAAATTTGTCGTTCAAATCGATCGATTACAGACGTATTCGATTTTGGTTTGTACTGCTATCCTTTGACAAATCACGTGTCTTATTATATGTGATACCTAATTATAATGGCGACAGAGCCGTGGTAGCTCAGAGGTAAATTTTACAGCACGCGAGTAAACCGTGTTCGATCCTTGACGGCACCAATGAAGTTGTTTGTTGCGATTTTAAGTGCTGATTTAACACGTGCTCGGCGTTGAATGGAAACATCTTGTGGTAACCTACATGTCTAAGGATCAGTTTATACAGACACGACGCGACGCGACGATGCTTGATAGGCCAACAGCGCTGAATCCCCTTTCCACTAGGTATGACGATGGAAAGGAAATTAAAAATTTCCTCGCTATATTCCATAATACGGCATAAGTAACGGGTATATTGTTTTGCAGCCAGAATTGCTGATATCCGTTTTTAAACTGAACTTTGGGTGAATTCGTTTCTTCTATGTCACCATATGGATTAATTATCCACGGTGGTATTACCATAGTCAAAATATCCTCAAACCTAGATTCAAAATCTGAATAGAGGGCATTTAAATGTTGACCGTAAGTTGAAATGTCGTCTTCCTGGCAGCTTGTCTGTGACACATTGGGGAACTGAGAAAATTCGCACCGTCCAATATTTTGCATCATTAGTTTAACTCTGGCAAGAAACGCTGATAAGATTGACTTTGTTTTAATCAAATTTAAACTGTCGCCTTGTAATTGCAAATTAACCATATTAAATTTTGTAAACAAATCTGTTTTAAATAGGCGATGTCTGTTTTCCTCTTCATTAAATTTTCTTTTAAAATTTTATCTTTAGTGTCAGAAATTCTAAAATAGTCCCAAAAAAGTGCAAAAAATCTTGTCAAACATAAGCCTTTCCACAGCCAGCGTACTTTAGTGTGAGGGGTAATTGATGAAAGTGTTCGTCATTTTCTTCACACAACTGCGCAAATAACCGCGTATTCAACGCGTTGCTTCGGATTCGGTTTACTGCATCAATGACTAAATGAAGTGATTCATGCAATCTAACACTCAAATTTTTAGCAACTAAATGTTGTCGATGGATGACGCAATGTATTGCTAACACCCCTGACACATTTTGTTTTAAATAGCTTATAAATCCACGATAACGTCCAACCATGGCAGGTGCACTATCTGTAGCTACTGATATTATATTTGATAAAGGAATTGCTTTTTCAATGAAGTAATCCTTCAAAACATGAAATATTGATTCACCTTTAGTGTCGGTTATCAAAGTTCTTGCGAAGAGCAGTTCTTCGTAGATTTCTTGATTCATAATAAAACGAACATATGCCAATAATAATGCTGCATTATCAGGTAAAGTTGCCTCGTCCAGTTGTATAGAGAAATGGGTCGTTTGCAAATAATTACATAAGAAGCGTTCAATATCAGAACTCATTTCATCAATACGTCTTTCAACAGTATTGTTGCTTAAGGGAATTCTTTTAATGATATCAGATGCAGGTTTGTGTAAAACAGTTTTTAAAACCTCTTCAACGGCTGGCAAAATTAACTTCTCTCCGATAGTGTGCGGTTTTCCGGATTTTGCTATAAGTAACGAGATAGTTGTAAGACGCCCGCAAACCATAATCATTTCTTTGTGACGTCGAAGCGAACATTCTGTCCAGTGTAGGTCTCTTCTGAAATTGATCTTTGAGTGTTTGAAAGTATTTCAAATCTTTTTTCTATTTTATCATCTGAGGCTTCTTCTCAGATGATCTTGCAGTTTAGATGGTTTCATAGGTATTGCCAAAACTTTGTTGCATAAAAGCGATTGTTTGTCCGGCAATGATGGAATGAAGCTAAATTTCAAATAATCGGCACTGTACTGTCTACATTTCTTTTGGGCAAAATTAAATTATTTAAATAAGACGAGAGAAAATCCAGCAGCTGTATATTAAAAATATTTTTTGATTTTTCCGAAAACATTCCATAATTCGAACATCTTCTTGCAACAATTAGCTCGAATTACGGAGATTGCACTGTAATTATAATACCGATTGCTAAAACTTTCAAAAAGAAACTATTGAGGAGTACTCGTGTAATTTTGCATGATTGAATATTGTTACGAGCTTGAGGTTCGTGACAATAAAAATTGCCGATAAAATTACCTAAATTAACACTTTAATTTACTTTACACAAATTAAAACTAAAAACACTAATAATTAAACACACTAATTTACTTAATTCCGCTCCGAAGCTTCGCTTGTGTCGCCGAGTTCAACTCTACCCGATCGCATCTTGCAGCGCCTACTTATATAAATTAGCAAAATATCCAGAATGTTCAAGTAAACACGCGCAAGGTACCGAGAGTTCGAGTTTTAAACTTCAAGAAGTTTAGTTCTTTGGTTCGAGACTAGATGGCGCTAGTGCGCCGATTTTAGCGCGTAACAATATTAAACTACTAATAACTAAAGTCATGATTGGCGTAATTTATCTATCTTTGCTAACTACGAGTACAAAACTATAATTTAATAAAAAATAATGTACTTACTTTTCTCCAGCACTCTCAAAAAAAATAACACTGACTCACTATAATTTGTGTGATATACTATCTGTTTATATTTTTTTAAAATATTTTCTTAGCACTTTCCTTTTCAAGATTCAGGAAACGATTAAACGTATTTGTCCCACATTCGTATTTATAGAGTGACGAATTGAACAAGTCAGTGCAAGGTAGCGAAGCTCTGAGACCGCGACTCTCAGGTTTTTTACAAGTTCAAAATGTATTGCCGACCACAGAGCGAATACCAACATCTTACAACTTACACAATTTTATAAACATATATAATAAATTTTTTACTTTTATAAATAATGTATATGTTTTGATATTATAAGATAGTATGATGTAAGTAAATAGGTACTATGAGTTTATGTGTTGAGAGCCAATATCGTGGACCCCTATTTTCATTTCATGGACCCCCAAATTTTTTTTCGCTGACGTAGACCCCTTGCAGATTGTCATAGACCCCTAGGGGTCGATATAGACCACTTTGGGAATCACTGCTCACGATTTGTGGGAAAATAGAATATGTTGCAAAAGTTTGTCCTTCTTTCACGTCGCAGCAGAGCGTCGGCATGGCATGAATTTTGGTTTGGCTATAGTTCGGTGGCTGTAGAGTGACACAGGCTTTTTTCAGCGGAAAAACATATCATTCCCGTGGAAAAATCGAATATGTTGTAAAATTAAATTCAGCTAGGTGGCGCCACCGTGATTCTACAAGACGGACGACGGTACGATGGACGAACACAGAAGGTCAGAATATCTGGATTATTATGTCTTTTTACCAAAATTAAGATAAAAAATGTATGGATCTGTATTTTTCCACGCTGGACCGGGAAGAGAGCGATGAAAAACATAAAATTCACCGACTGATTTTCTTCAAACGTTTTGGTGCATTGTAATTCACAGAATAGACGATAACCTCGCAGACGATATTAAGTAATCCGTTGATGCTCTGCCTACATCGCAAGGGTTACAGGCGTGATTATAAGTATGGATCAGATATACTATCACCACCTGTCACGCTTTCACCCTTAACTATTACTTAACTGTGGTAAAAACAGTTCTTAGTAAGCCTTATTAATAAGCCTTAGTAATATTTATTGAACGGAAATGTATATAGTTCTTATATGTGCTTATGAATGAATCGGTATTATAATAAGAAAAATTGTGCAAAATTATAAGAAAAATATTTTTTGAGAGTTCTTATTAACTAACGTATACATAGTTTAAATTGATTCCGCTAGATGTCGTTACTAGGTTTTTAAAGCGCGGTAACGAAGTGTTTCCTGACATGTACTTAACTCCCGCCGTTGAGCTGCGCGTCAAATTATAGTGCATACGGTACCTATACGCTAAAATTGTTTCTATTTCGTAGCTTATTCAACTACCTGCTTTCGATTTCGGTTGTTTGTTATTTGCTTTGTGATTTGGTTAAGGTTGAATAGATTTATATTGTTAAGCTTTCATTTTCGGATTTGTGTATTTTCTTGGATCGGTTTTGTTGATTTGGTTGGTATTCCTTTATACATATTTATACTCTGGCTTTGATTTTGGATTTTGTTTATTTAGAATCGTGAATTGGTTTTCGTTGTTTTAGGTTGTTTAACAATATTTCAAAGGAATATTAATAGTATAGATAGTGTATACGGTACCTATACACTTACTTCTTTTTTCGTTGGTTATGTTTATATTGACTACTGCTTTCGATTTCGGTTTTCTGCGATTTGTTTTGTGATTTGGTTTAAGTTGATTCGATTTTTTTCGGCTATCGTTTTCGGATTCGTGTTGTGTCTTGAATTGGTTTTGTTGTTTTGATTTTAAAAAATATTTAAAAGGAATATTTATTCCTTTTAGGTAATCTTTTAGTAGCTCGAACAAATTATTATTTAATTTTCTTTCTCTTAAAACACTATCAAAACTAGTGGGGACCCAATCAAATTTAAAATTCACCTCTCTTATTAATTTTCAGATAAACTTAAACGTGCAACAGCCAGAGTTAAGAGAATACTGCCGCCAACAGAACATCGTGGTGACCGCCTACACGCCTTTTGGTTCCATCTTCCCCAACAAGGCTCGGTCAGATGCACCTCCGCCACGTGTGGATGACCCCACCCTTGTACAGATCGCTAACAAATACAACAAGACAGTGCCTCAAATAGTCCTTAGATATCTGGTAAGTATTGCTTACTACTCAGTGAAATCTTGTCAAATGAGAGCGGCGTATGAGGGATCCATTATCACATCTCGTCTCATGAGTAATGGCCCGGCCACACTAAGGAGAAATGCCGTTAAATATCGCGTTGATGGACGTTAAATTTAGGTGTGGCCACGAATTAACGCGATAATTTTCAACGGCATTAACAATGCCATTTCCCGTTTGCCGATAACTCGAGTGTCGGTACATCAAAGGATTAACGCGCGAATTATCGCGTTGAAGCGGCCACACTACGTTTGTCTCATTGTGCACGGTGAGTGCCACGGGGTTACACGTATGGCTGCGATGGAGTGGAGTAACGAAAAAGTTACAACGTTTCTCGAGATCCTGCAAACAGAGCCATGTTTGTGGGATCCGAGACTTAAAAGTTATAAAAATCGTACATCGCAATATGATGCTTGGCGACGTATTTTGCAACTGCTACCCTTTCAATCATCAATTGAAGAAATTAAAAAGAAAAGGGAAAGCCTAATGGGTTATTATAGAAAATAATTTAAACAAATATAAAGTCTTTGAGGTCCGGAGCTGGCACAAAGGACGTGTATACAACTAGTTGGTTCGCATTCGAAACGATGGATGGTTTCCTACGAGGGGTTTATGAAAGTAATCACACATTAAATTATTCTTTTTCTTTGTATTCTTTTTTTCTTCGTTTGGCAATGATACAATATATTCATATAATAAAAATTTACACTCATCAAATATAGAGTAGCTGCGTCAACATCCATCTTGCTTGAAATTCAAGGAACATTAAAAACATTTAACGCCGTTCAACGGCAAATTTAATGCCGTTCAACGGGAAACGGCGTTGACCGTTCAAGTGTAGCCACTCATTTTATCGCGTTATTTAAGGCAATAATTGTTGCGTTCATGGGCATTGACGTTGCTCGTTAGGTGTAGCCGCAGCATTAGAATGTTCATGACCGCATATCAATTGACATTTGTCCCTTTCACTGAATTTGGCATATTCGCCATACTTCGCTGCTGTACATCGCTTCATGAGGAGAGGAGATAGGCGACAGGGTCTTCCTAATAACGATTACCAACCCGCTGCCAAGCGTGGCAACTGTGGCAATATCCCCCTATGAGGCAAGCTATGGGGGAGGCCTATAATCAGCGGTGGACTTTACTAGGCTGTAACGGTAACGGCCATACTTAGCAGACGAATTGATGACTGCAGTACAATAGCCAACTTTTCTCTGGTTAAGTTATTTTACATCTGACTAGTTACACATTTGTATGCTTTTACAAATCGTCATAATATATGACTGGCCTGTGTTCAATAGTGGTCTGTGTAGGAAAACAAAAAGTAGCTCATGTACTTTGTTTGTGCCATTTTTGTGCAAGCTCTTGTAATAATGAACATTCAACTTTTCAGGTGGAACTGAACGTTATACCAATACCCAAAACGGTGACCAAGTCGAGGGTGGAACAGAACATCGATATATTCGATTTTGAACTAACGCGCGAGGAAAAGGACCTCTTCAGGGGCTACGACAAAAATTATAGGACTATCGATTATAAAGCGGCGATAGATTCACCTTATTATCCATTTGAAAAGAATTAAGAAACATTAAATTTTATTTTAATCTGTTTATTTGATAGTTTTCTTTCTGGCGCATAACCTTTTTATTATTTGTCGATATTTTCTGAAGAATGGTAATGAAAAGGATAGGCGCGTTCTTCATCTCACGCTGGCACCAGAGATAAATCAAAAGCCGCGTACACACCAAGCGAACGAGCACGCGCGGCAGTCTCGGTGTGCGGCTCGCGAGCAAAGGCTCCCGAGGCAGCCTCAGTAGTTTTGTCCGGTACTCTGCTGAGGCACGCCTCGCGAGACAGGCCGAGCCATCATAAGTCCTTAAGAATCCGAAATGATCAGTTGCGTAATTGCAGCTGCAGCTACTTTCTTAGTTGCTTATTGTTTAAAAAAAAAACGAAAACAGTCACGTTTTAAAAGGATTGTGAAGCTGTAAATTTTCATACAAAAAGCGATAACGTTTTCCCACCAGTAAACATAGTCTGATTTTCATAATTTTTGGAAATGTAGATATATTACAAAAAACTAGGTCCGTACTTTTTAATTTTAAAGAAATATTACGTACGATGTAAGTTATTAGCATCTAAATATCTATATTTTTGACTTAAAAACTTCCTCGAGCATTTTTATTTTTCTTAATTAAACTAAACTGATTTACTATAAAAGAAAATCGTACAGACCAAGACTAAGATGTACTGAATCTAATGGTACAAAAATTATCTCATTTCGTAGAGGTTTAGGAGGGCAAAAATGTTATCGCCCGAAACAATATTTCAATAAAGAAATGTAGGCAATTGCTTCCAAGACTTGCAACTCTCTCTATCTCACGATACGGGTCGGGAGGCAGGGGCATACGCATACTGCTGTAGTTGTGGTTTGTTGTTATTAGATGTTGGAGATTTTATCGATATACATATATGTATAGATTTAACGGCTCGTGGCGCAGTAGCTCAGCAATGAGTTATAGCGCTGAAGGCCGCGGGTTCGAATCCCGCATGGCACAAGTATGACCTACAAGTAATTATTCCGGGTCTGGATGTTTGTCCTTGTGCAATCGATGTATGTAAAAACTGCTAAAAACACGATACAGGAGAAAGTCCTAGTGTGGGGGTAACGTAAATAAATAATGAGAAGAAAGTAATACCAAAAACCTACACAAATAATACTTCTTATGAAAAAATAATATCTGTGAATAACTTCATTAGGTATTTAGTCTTTATTTTAGAGTCTTTATTGAACAAGTACTGTAACTTCGAGATTACGCTTAATTAGGTAGGTGAATAAATAAAAAAGTAACAAATTTTGAAAATAATTTTTTTATTACTACATATTACTTTATTACACTCTTTCTCGAGCTGCCATATTTCTAGATACTGAAGGGTCAATCAGTTTTGTTAATAAACACTGAAAATAAAATGAGTTACGTTTTGGCTGCATTTTTTCTGTCCTAAAGTGGTCATCGTACTTAATTTTTTCATACGCCAAAACATGTAGCGTTATACTACGAAAAAACAAAATTGCCTACCAGTAATGAGGAATTTTCCCTGGATCTGATAATAGTCATCATGATTTCTTTTTAAAATCATATTATGTCCTTCTCGTATCAAACAAAATTTGATCTTTTTTTAGTTATGGCCTCCACAGGTGGCATATTAGAAGCAGAAATAGGACATTTGACTTGAATTAGAGAGTCATCTCCTATAAGTCCATCGGGACTTGCCCCTAAATGTTAATCATCTTAATCAATAAACAGTCCACACACCGAAAGTTTTAGATTGGTAGTTGTGGAAAATTCTCGTATGGCAGTAGTTACGTTGTACCAGTTCTGGCGCACTTGTAGAAAGGTTGTACCAGTTCTGGCGCACGACGTTCGTCGACTCACAATCCTAAAAAAAAAAAAAAAAGGGTTTTGGCATGCTCTGATCACGAATCTGCGGTCCATTTTTGCGTAGGATGCACGGTTCCGGAGATGTGCAGATCAATTAACTCTTATCTAATTGATATCCGCTACGAGCCTCAACCGTCATTAGCGCTCCATTGTCCTTATCTACTTATCTATTGTTGATTGACTACCGTCATTATCTATTATTCGTCCAGCGTGTGGGTCGGCTTATGCTATTGTATTATACTCCTTTGTTCCTATCTACAACACTAATCTGAATCATCAATAAAACACATTACCTAATTTTGTTAAAATTTTTATTTATGAAATACAAAATCTTATTACTTATTATCTATAAAATAGGAGCGAAACATCTCATCCACTAAAATATCGTTGTACAATGTGTTCTCTGTAAATATACTCGTAAAACTATGCATTGAACATCCCTGAAACTTATATAGCAAATACATTAAGCAATATTCGCCACAAACTGAAGTCCACTCATTCTGAATCCTATCAACATTCCAGTTCCATCTTTTACAATTTCTTTTAAAAAACTCTAGATGATATCGTACAGGTGCCCGTCCGAATGAATCAAAATATTGACCGACGTCATTCGTATCGATATATAAAGATACCCAATGTGACCCTGGTTTATCATCTGTATCCAAATTGCATATTATATACGTTGGTACGTGGGTGTACATGGGTAGTTTATTGGCAGCATAAACATTATTTTCTAGAGTGGGGTGAATCTTTTTCAGATGTTGTTGTACATCTAGTGTATCCATAATATTACTGCTATTAGTAGATTATTACACTACCAATCTACTCAATGACTAATATAGGAATGATCAATTATAGTGATATCTAAATATTAAATTGCTTTCTTTGTGTTATACAAAACGTATTTGAGTCACCAATACACTGAACAAGACATGACAGGAAGGACGTAGTAATGTAGAGATAACCAACAGAATGTAAGGTAAGCTTGTTGACGCATAAAGATACTATCAATTCTACTGCAGAAATTCTTTAGATTAGAATTATTACTCACTGGTACTATATAAGACCAAGCAACTGCAGTCATGGAGTTAGTGTATGGTCGTTTGACCGCAGTGGATCTATCAATACTACGTTTGTGTTACTTCAACGCATCAAAGGCCATGGATGTAAGTGTTTATTCTATTGACAAACTTACTTTTCTTTCTGTTATTTTCTTACGTGTGTATGATTTAGTGTTAACAAATTATATTTAAATATTATGTGTGTGTATATGGTTAAGCCGTGGTAGCTCAGATGGTTAGCGCAAAATGTAAACTTCATAGTACACGTCCCGGGTTCGATCCCCGCCGGCACCAATTAAATTGTTAATTACAATTTTAAGTGCTGATTTACCACGTGCTCAGCGGTGAAGGAAAACATCGTGAGGAATGCATGTCTGAGAAAATTTCGAAGGCATGTGAAGTTTGCCAACACGCATTGAGGTATCGCAGCGAACATTTCCTAGCCCTAAAACCCTCTCAGAAATGAGAGGAGGCCTATGTTCAGCAGTGGACTTTAATAGGTTGTAACTTTAGCTTTTTTAACTTTTATGATTAAGTGTTAACAAATTGATATTAACATGATAACTGTGTTGTTGCAGAAATCATTGAGCTTCGATGAAAATACCTATAAACAGTATTACTACTCGCCACTCTCCCCTCAAGAAGAGAGTGATGACATCGTCATTAATAATAACACATGCGATGGTGGAAAAAGAAAATCGCAATCGATTGATCATTTTTTTGAAGCTGAATCAAAAATAAAAAAGAGGAAGCTGTTATCATCAACCGTAGCACGAGCCGCTAGAGATGGTGTATCATACATTTCTACTAATTCTGACGACGGAGACCAAGCGACGCATCTCATCAAAATTGAAATGTACGATATGAAGAAGCTATCCAAGATTCCAACTACTGATCATTGGAAACATGCTTCCACGAGGATTAAATATTACGTAAAGACTAATAAGGATAGCATCTACGACAACACAAACGCCCTCGTATACAATATTACAAAGACAATAGCAGAAAGTGAAAAAGTTAAAAAATACTTTTTTAACAATGACAGTCATTAGCTGATCATTAGTGAATGTGATTCTGTTTACTTAAATTACAGGAAGACAAGAGCAGAAGAAAGAGATGAGTGTGGCATACGTGTACAGAACACATCGTTGAAGAACAAAACTACAACACTGAGTGGAGATGAAAACGAGAATATGCAGTACTCAAGAGCTGAATATCCATTCTTCAGTTCAAAATCTAGCCGGTTGCTCAGTTTCGAAAACTGGCCTCTCGTTATGCGACAGAAACCTGAAGATCTTGCAGAAGCCGGTTTCTTTTATACTGGCCATGCAGACAGGACCAAGTGTTTCCATTGTGGTGGTGGCTTAAAAGATTGGGAAGATGATGATGATCCTTGGCAGCAGCATGTTCAGTGGTTTAGTCAGTGTGCTTATGTAAAATTTAATCTCGAACAGAGTTTTGTATTAGATTAAATAGAATATTTATAAAGAAATAAAAAATAATATATTGCATACAATTTGTTTTATTTAATTTTATAATGTTTCACATAGTTACATACACACAAAATGCATTACACATAACTCATAAAATCTAACACACAACACATATTATAACCTTAACTACTATAGTCTACAGTAACATTTCTGTTTTTATCTATCTCAATAATATTATCAAACTCAGCATAAACTATACAGTTAATTGTTTGTATTAGTGAGGATTCAAATCGTACTTCTAATCTTACACTACCATGCTTTATGAGATTCCAATGAGCTGATGAGTTGGCTGATAAATCAGGAGTTAAGTCAAATGCTAATAGACAGTAACCTTTGGCATACTGTTCACAAGAGATTCCATTTCCTTCATTAAGAAAGTGAATACCAGTTCCCGAGAATAGAGTATGATATGCTGATGTAAATATGCTATTATTAAAAGATGGTTGCAAAGCTTTTGAAGGTATTTGTTGACCATCAATATATAAGCTGAAAGAATTAATACCATAGTTTTCAAAGTTAAAAGGATTTTTAGTAAGGGAACCATTAAATGCAGAATTGTTCACAAATCCAATTATACATCTTTTG